GCGGCGTCGGGCAAGAGCTCCTTGACGCCATCGTCGCCATCGTCGTCGGCGGCGGCGCGCACGGGGTCAGCAGGTCGACCTTGACGAGGTCGTCAGGTTGCGTGGTGCGCAGTCGACAACGGCCAGCGGGAAGTCGCTCGCAGGGTGGCCGATGGGCCGCCCAGACGTTGATGATCTGGTAGCGGCCCTGTAGCAGGCGGTCTGCGTCGGCAGGGTCCTCGACGTGGCGCCGCACGCGCGCCTCGGCGGCCCAGGGCGTCTGATCGACGTGCAGCTGCTGCACGGGCTGGCGGGCGGCGCCCTCGACGCGACGGCGGATGGTGTGGTCGAAGATGACGACCCTGGCGACGCCCGGCAACTTTGCGCGCAGCAGGGCCTCGACCTCGGCATAGTAGGGCCCACGCACGGCGGCGTCGTCGGTGAAGGTCTTCTCAAGCGAGGGCGCGTGGTAGACGCCAAAGCCGGCGGTTTCCGTGGAGAAGCTGTCGAGCCCGGCCGCGCGCATGTCGGCGACGGAACGCTGGCGCTCCACCCTCTGGAAGGACGTCTTGTCGACGTCGACCTTGCCCCACGGCTTGCCGGTGAAGGAGTCAAGGTCGATGTACTTGAAGGTGCCGGTCGTCATGGCGGCGGCTGTGCTGTTGCTCGCCGATCTGGCTTGTGGTTGGGATCTGGCGAGGCTGGCAAATCTGGGCGCTGCGATGCCGGTCCCTGGTGCTCGTCTCACGGACAATGGAATGGTGCTGCAGGAGAGTTGGCGTGCTGTCTTGATGACTCGATGCATGCTCTGACTACCTACCTTGCGTAGGGCACTTGTCGATGAGGGCATACATTGATCCAAGGAAGCATTCAGGGAAGGCATGCGGCTGCGGGGCTCTTAAAAGCCTCCGGACACGGCGGCATCTCGACGCGGAAAGGGAAACCCGCTGATTACATCATCACCTTCGACTTAGGAAGTGGCGGGCCTGCCTTTTTCGTCGTCTCACGCATCGCCCTTGCCCATTCGGCGATTGCTCATCGGCCGGGCTTTGGTCATTGGTAAGCCCTCGCCCCATCATGGGCATGCACGCCCCGTGTTGCCCCAGGTTGCTTGCCTGTCGGTCAGTCATCGATCAATGGTGATGGCTGAATAACGTCGACGTGACTTGACCTCTGCCCGACGTGGGGGTTTTGTATCGTTCTGACGCAACCCGCGAGTACCAGCGGCAGGCGTCCACTCCACTCACTTCACATGAGAGGCAAGCAATTCATGGTATGCGCCAGTCTGCACTACACTCAACGAGCCATGCGCGACAATGAGTAAGAACCACGAGGATGCAGAAGAACATGATCATGAGAACCAGTCAATAATTGAGGCCGTAGCCATCAGAGTAGAATTATGCGTTCGCCGTCTCGGGGTCTGTATGCCCCGATTGCTCCATGGAGTGGCCGTTCAATCATGTCCCCAAACGCCCTTGATGAATGCCCTCAATAGAGCTACAAACCAGCCCATCCGCTTTCAAGTTCATGAAAACCATCCAAGTACTCAAAATACAGAGGGGGGTATAGTGCTAAGCCAATGACCAGATGCAGTACAAACAAAACATATGCTTTTCCTTCTCTCCCTATCCGTGTCCATGAGAACATTTCGTCTCATTATCGTTTCGTCATGTGCATCCATATAGGACGCAATGCCAAATAGGCTCCATGTGTCCCATGCGACATGTATTCATGCCCTCGGCTCGGGGCTCGTCCGGAGCGCATCGAGCATCTCCAGCGCCTCGTAGTCGATGGCTGCGCGTTGGGGTACGCTGGCGGGCTCGGAGGCACGTCGCTGTAGACCGGCGCGCTTCGTTGTCCCAGCTGACTGCCGAGACCGGCGCACTCGGTGAGCATGATGTGGTACTGCATGCGCAGGATGCGGCCCGTGCCCGTCTGCGCCGCGAGGTGCGGCTTGCCGGCGGGCGCCACTCCTTGCTGACGACCATCTCGATCATGAGCGCGTGCGAGACCGAGGTGCCGTCGAGCGAGCGGCTGTCGCAGGCAAAGCCCGGTGCGCCGTTCTTCGAAGAGGCGAGGAGCGACGCCGCGACGCCGTACTCAAACCCAAACTCGACGTGGCCGTCTGTGGCCGTGTAGTCCGACTTCCAGCCGTCGTGCATGTGCCTCTCGCCGAGGACACGCGTCTCGGTGCGCGACGCACCCTTTTGCGCGACCGGGGCTGAGCCCTCTGCAGGGGTGGTAGGCTGGTGCTTCTTGCAAGCGGGGGCGACCGTCTTGATCGTCTCCTCGAGCTTCCACGTGATCTTCTTGAGCTTCCAGTACTCTACCGTCTTGGTGGCGTCATTGACCGTCGTGAGACCGTCGAGGCGGAGCTGGACGGCGTGCTGCGATCCGGTCGAGTGGATAATCTGGTCGTAGTCGGCGCCAGCCTTGATGTTGGTGGGCGGGAACACGCGGACCGAGTGGTGGGGCGTGTCTGGCTGCACGAGGGAGCGCTTGACGTCGAAATCCTTCCAGAACTTGATCGGCAGCGCAGAGATCCTGGCGTTCTTGGCCAGGGTCACCTCCGACTTGAACTCGTAGGCAATCGACACGAGAGGGGTGTCGAGGCTGGCGGGCAGGTGACCTTCGAGAAGAATGGAGAAGGGGTACTGGTGCCTGCCCTTGCGCAGGGTGGTGGGGTGGCTGAGAAATGTCCACTTCTTGAGCTCCGTGTACTGGTCTAGGCAGTCGGCGCAGTTGGCCATGAAAGGCTTCTTCTGGTGCACGTGGATGTTGAGGGCCGCGGAGAAGTTCTCAATCTCGAGGTGCTCGTCCTTGACCTCAATGATCATCTGGCCCGACACAAGGGCGCCCGAAGACGACTCGGCGTCCCCGAAGAAGATGATTGGCGGGCTCTCAATCTTCCAATCGAGCGCGGCATGTGGGTTCTCGTGGATCTCCCTACTGCGGCCAAACGGCAGGGAGATGCGGTGGTTGGTCTTGTCCTTCTTGTGGCTCTTGAGCATCTTGTCCTTCTCTTTGCGCTCCCTCTTGGCCAGCTCTTTCTTTTCCTTGACGGGAGCAGGCTCAGGTGCATACATCAGGTACGGAATCTCGTCGTACTGCTCGGACAGGCTGGGGTCGTAGGATGGGAAGCGCTCAATGCGACGTCGCACGGGGGCTTGTTGCTGGGGCCGGATGGATGACTTGATCGTGTTGACAGCGGCGGCAGAAAACGTCTCAGTGGAAGACCGCAGGAAATCTGCGACTCTGTGGGGCATGGTGACGGTGATGGTTGCGCTGGTGCTGGCACTGGACTGGATTTCCCCGGATTCTATTCTTGGCGGTGATGAAGTCCCTGAGGGAAAAATCTCGAAATGAGGAGTCGGTATGATGTGATGTGGCGTGTATTTGACTGCTCTGATTGCTCAGGTCCGACAAGGGAGAGAGCAAGGCGGAGGAGCTGGCGATGGAGGGGGCGGGGCCGCTTCAGTGGAAGAGCTCAGCTGATCGAACAGGCGAGGATCGAGGGTTGAGGGCGATGGTATGCTGCTCTGTCTTGTGCCGTCGTC